GGGTGGGTGAAGGGAGACGCCGGACAGTGTAATATAAGATACAATAATAATTTATAAGTTATTAAGGGCGCATGGGGGAGAAGGGAAGAGGAAGGGAAGGGGAGGGGAGAAAAAAGGAAAATGAGCTGATTCCGGGAACCCAAGAGACAAACGAATTTTGGGAATAATGAGGGCATCAGATGTATAGATGTGTTTTATACAATTGATCTATGTATTGTGATGAACTGTATGAGCCCCAATAAATTGATTTAAAAAAATTTTTTTTAAACCAAAAAAAAAAAAAAAAAGGCGTTAGTGTTCATGGAGGAGGGAGTGACTAATTCGTGATATAAAGGTTTCACAGGGAAGCTGCTTGAAACAGCTCTTGGAAGAGCAGAAGGGAATGCCACTCAGCTAATAGTGCAATTATGTATACAGCAGTATGAATTAAAGTGCAGCGTCCGAACATCGTGTGACAGAGGCATTTATTTATAGAGTGTCAACAGCAAACCCCCCTCAAACTCACTGCCACCCTATAGGGCGGAGTAGAACTGTCCCCGAGAAGTTCCGAGACAAACTCTTTCCGGGAGTAGAAAGCCCTGTCTTTTTCCTGCGGAGTGGCTGCTAGTCTAAAACTGCTGCCCTTGTGGCTAACAGCCCAACTCATAAGCACTACTCCATGGGGGGTCCTCTTTATGGACTGTGATTGATAGCAAATTAGCCAGAAAGGCAGAGCTGTGAGAGATCTCAGGCAGATGCCAACATTTTTTTGGCTTTATTCTATAGGAATAAAGCTGGTAGCTGTCGATGGTTGTATCTGTTAAGATCATGAATATTAAAGGTAAATAACGGCATTGTTTTTGAAGCAATGAAAACTCTATGACGGTACTCTCCATAATCCAGTTTGAATCTGCATAAAACAAATTGCTTTGAGAAAAGAATAAATCTTTCCCAGTTTTAAGTGCTTAGTAGGAATCATTCGGTTAATACCCTCCTTTCAAGATCCTTTGTGTTTAATGAAACCAAAAAATCAACCCTACTGCCATCAAACGGATGCCTAGCAGCCCTTTGGACAGTTAGAACTGCTTACAGGGTTTCCAAGGCTGTATACCTGTACAGAAGTAGACTGCTCCCTCTTTCTCCCAGGCTGGTGGGACAGTGAGTGCTAACCACTGATGCTTCCCTCAGGTTTTCCTTTTAAATTCCTGAGCAGTCGTGGAGTAGAATGGTTGAGACTATGGGCTGTGGCAGCAGGTTGGCCGAGGTCCGACCTTACTACTTACCAGCCATGTGTCCCAGGAGAAGCTCCTTCAACTCTTGTCTTCGTTTGTTCACGCCTAATATGTCTATTCCAGTGCTTGACATGAGCTGCTGCTCAGATATTTGTTGGTCAGGTGCATGGAGTGGTTTCATTTTTTACCGCATGCTTTTAAATGATCTAGTACTTACTTTCTCCTTCTTCAATGTTTTTACTGAAGAGCGATGGCTTGGTGTAGTAGGGAGAAAAACAAAAACAAGCTTTAGAATCAGATAAGGGTTGGTATTCTGGCCCTACCATTGAATAGTTCTGTGATCCTGGGAAAATAGCCTAATCTGAGATTTCCTTTGGGATTTAAAATGTATTTCTCATTGGCTTTGTGTGAGGAGTGAATAAAAAATTCAACATAAGAGTGCAAGTAATAGTGCCTGCACATCTTAGCAGCTCGGTAAATGTTATTTTTTCCCTTTCTGCTTTGGAATGATCTCCTGCAGAGACCCTATCTCCTGCCTAGTTTGCCTTCATTTGCAATTAGATGGGGTATACAGTAGTGGGATGCAGATTCCATTCTGAAAAGGGTTACAGGAAAGGACCTGCACAGACACTCTGTTGGCCTTTGATGTTGGCCTTCGTGCTCTGTGGATTGTGATAGATATTGAAGATCCATATCCTGACCATGGACTGGTAGAGGATGATCAGCACTGATAAGATTCAGGGCCAGAATGCTCACCCGTTTTTCCTCCCCTAGCCCCCCAGGGAGAACTAGGACAAGCTTTACCAAGTGCTGAGTCAGGATGTTTTACAGGGTCATTTGCTTAATGACTTTTCTTAAAGTGTTGACTACAGAGGCTGATGGTAGGTTTTCAGATGTTTACAGCCCCCATATGACTCCTGTTTATTGAACCTGACTCTTTGGTAATGTAGAGTCTAGCTTTGGCTTTAAAATCACAAATTAGTACTTGTGCTTTGCCTAGCCTTATGGGCAAGTTAAAATGGTGACTTAAACAAATAGCCATGAGACTCAGGCAGATTTGAAAGAAACGTGTTTATGCTAAAGACACTCTTTCCGAGAAAAGACAGGTACAGGTTGCTGGGTGAGGTGACACCCTTGGCAGATCTAGAAATGCAGTGTTTGCTTTTCCAGTTAGGATTATTACAAGACATAAAACCCCAAACCCTAATTGCTTGTACCGTGAGAAGGGACAGGGGCCATTACGATCGGCTCAAGGAGCCCTTTAGCAGGGAGCCTCCGCTCAACGCTTAAAAACAGCGTATACCCTGAAGCTCGCCCCAGACCTACAAACCATTTCCCCAAAACTGGGGCTTAGTTATCTGCATTTTTATTTTCTCTTTATTCTTTGATCTTATTTATTTTATTCTATTTTTGTTTGAACAATTCTTGTAATTTCTGGAACAGGTAATGAAGGGTCAAACATCAAAAATATAAAAAGACATATAGTGAAAAGTCTTTTGGCCCTGTCTTATTTTTTTAAGCACTTTATTAACATATACTTTGTGTATGATACCATTCAGTGGCTTAAATATATGAAAAATAGTTGTGTAATTGTCCCTGCAGTCTTAGAAATTTTCTTTTTTCTTGTGCCCATTGTTATTAGCTCCCTGTTTTACCCAACTTCCCCTGTCATAACTCTAAAGATCTATTAATCTAGTTACAAGGTCTATG